CTATAGATTTTTTTAATTTAATCTTGACTTTTGTACAATTGCTGGATCATGTGGCCTTCTTTTAGCTGCTTATATTCCTAGTTGAAATTTTAAATTTAAAATTTTCCTGGGTAAGGGGATTACGTATCAGCCAGATTGGAGTATTTGATGGCAGATACTAGTAACAAACTAAAAACTAAATCTTAGTGCAGTGGTGGTGAAGTACTCTTCTTTTCACCAAAAGAAGTTTTGCAGAAATTGAAATGGCCTAAATAAACAGTGTTAGAGTGAAGGAGATTCTGGCTGTGTTGGCATGACTTTCCAGTCCTTTTTTTCCTACGGACCATGTTTGGAAAATGGCTCTGTGTGTTATATGTATGTATATATATTTTTTTAAAGGATGTTTCTTACATTACTTTATTTCTTCTTTTCAGAGAGCAAAAGAGATCTGTGCCACAGTGAATACTATGCAGTTCAGAAGGATGATTGGGTTTTTTTATGAAAAAAAGTTATTTTAATCTTGACTCTGCTTCTAAACGTGTATGTGAGCCTTTTGTTGCTAAAAAATAAATGAGCTTGTAAGATGGTGGAGAGTCTCCAAGGAGGTCTATGAGTATCAACAGTGGCCAGTACTGCTTATATTCTTTTTTGCTAGTAACAATAGCATAGAAATGATAACAAATGCTGTGACATTGGGTTTTCTAAAGCTTGTTTCTCAGATACCTAGGGCTGTAGGGTGCTCTATGGTGGCTCGGCATTTGACTTGCCTTATTAACTTCGTGCTGCTGAGGGGATCGGATTTTGCTGGCTTAGACTTGAGATCATGTTAGAATCTGATACAGGAGGTTGTTAGTGGTGTTGAGTAGCTTCTGCCCACCATTCCTCCCACAGAAGTGACCCTCTATTCCAGCAGAGCCCACTCTTTACTTCCCCCTTCCCCGCTTCCAGCCCTGGCCTTTGCAGCCAACTTTGCCGACACTTGTTTGAGATGAATGCAGGAATGGCTGCTTCACCTGCAGTCACAAGTTCAACCACAATTTGCTATAAAATTGTTAGTAAAAAATGTTCAGTGCTTGTTGACGGTGTTTTGAATGTTTAATGTTTCAGTCGCCAGACTTTGGAATCTTGTGTCAGTGGCCTTAAAGCTTCCTTTGTCTGTGAGCACGAGTTTTGTCAATGCTCACTGGGGAACAGAGGTCTCATGTTCTCTGTAGCAGCCTCTACGTCAGGCTGTGTCGCTGGAAGCCTGGGCTGATTCAGTGGGGGATGTCTCATAGCTGGGAGTCCTGGTCATTGTGCTGTTCCACAGAAATAACCAATGCTGAGCATGGAGAAGTTGGCAGTGATGCGTGGCATCTCCATGTGGACTGTTCTGGCTGTGGTGTGCTGGATAAGTGCAGATGGCGGAACAGCCTTCCCCGGTCACCTTTCCCAGGAGCCTCTTAGGGGATGGCTGGGATCTGGATGAAGTGCTGAGGTAGCATTTGATTGCTGTCTTCCTCAGGAACTCTGTAGTAGAGAAAGGAGTAACTGGTACTGCTGCATAGGTACGAGTTGCAAATATTTGTTCAGGGCCAGTTTAAATTTAGGCATTAGTAATTTGGACTAAGGGGCTATAATCCATTTTGTCTCCTGCTAAATAGGGAATACTGTAAAGCATTAGAACTGTGCAAAACACTTGTTAAATACATGGAAAGAAACAAAGCAAGTGGTAGATACATTTTCCCATAAAGAAGAAGGTTTGTTAATTACTCATAAGGGATAGTTGCACTTGGCTGACCAGTAAGCTTCCCTCATGTGTAGGTGAGTTGTTTGTGAATCATTTGGGTCATCAAGTAATCTCTGTAGGTTAGGAAGGGTATAAAACATCTTAGGATTTTGAAGTAAGAAGAGTGGCTTTAGTACTTACGCTTGGTATTTGTATGCTGTATAATTCAGTCTCTTGTCTCTAATTACTTATTCCTGACTTCTTGCACAACTTTAGCATAAAAGGAGGCTTTTCATAGGGTTCCCCCCATTCCTTGCCATGTTAAATAAAACTGCTGATGTGTCAGTAGTCTTTCTGGACCACTGATGTAGTGACACGCTCTCTTTCGTCATGCAAGATACTGGACATTTTTGTGTTGTCAACTGACCTCCAGGAGTGGGGCATGTCTTCTTCCTTTAGCAGGAGGGCGGAAAAGAAATGAGAATTCATCGTATCCCGCATCGTGGACATAATGTGTAAATCAGGGAACATTATAACCTGAACCTTAAAACTCTAGATCAGTCTTTGCTGGGGAGGCACTGGAGACAGAGGCATGTAGGAAGTTTAGGCTGTACAAAATCTAGTCTGTGCTTTATGTACACCTAACGTTGCTGCTTTAGAGAACTGAAGCTATGTGTTTTCTGTTATAAATGCATTGAAGAGCCCTGGTAGATCAGTGTAGAGTTGGTACTGCCTAAATAACTTTGCAGTGCCTTTAAACTGCAAACACAGGTACAGTATAGCACTTAAACTATACTTATAGTAAAAATTAATTGCCAGGAGAAGATAGTGCGAAAGTTTAGATACGGTACCTGTGCTGAAAAACATGTCAATGTGGTAATGAATAACCCAAGCTTTTAAAATAGTCATTAAATCGTACTAACTGTGCATCTTTCTTAATTAATAGGAGGAGAGTAAATTGAACAGATTAAGGTACACAGAACTACTTTTATACTTGCAAGGGATAGTGATTGTAATGTAATCTTTGGTGGAGCACATTTATATGGAATGCCAGGTGGATGCCAGCTTTGTTTCTATGTCACTTGATATGCGGTTCTACAGTGTCACTTGGTGAAATATAATTACTTGCAGACCAAGAAAGTGTTTTAAAAAACAAAACAAACAAACCACCTAAACCAAACCATGAAATAATGAATTTTAACTGCACAGAACTCTTACAAATTTTTGAAGTTGCGTTGTCTTAAAATTAGTGTTTACTTAAAATCTTAGATAATAATAATTTAAGAAGTGTTATTTGTGATGTAGATGTGGATTTGATTTACCACTAGATGAAAAATGTTAAATTGTAAATTTCAGTTTACCATGGAATTTAAATATTTTGAGACAAGAAATTAATTTGCCGATGTCAGAGTTGAATAAACTACCTTGAAACACCTCTCACTAACCTTAATAAAACTTCTGCTGCCTTGTTGAGGTGCTGAACTGTGGAGTCTTACTTTAGATGCTCAGATTTGAAAAATTTGCTTAAGCAAATAGCATTTTGTTAAATTCTCATATCCCAGTAGCTTTGTATATGGCTTCTGTTTTTAAAGGCACTCCTGAGTTCATTGTGTTTCTTGGTAAAAATTGTGTATATTTATTCAAGTGTTTCAAACACTGAGTGTCTTAGATGGGTTTTTTAATGACACTTAGGCTGAAATGTTACTGCCTAGTGTTCTGATCAGTATCCAACTTTTAACTAAAAATGCAGGTTTTTTTAACACAGGATCAGAGTTGTTGCCTTACAGGTACAGTGAATTTACATGTCAAGGTACATTTGCAAGCTAATCGCACTTCCCCCCCCCGCCATTGTACTTCGTCAAAAAGTCAAAGTGCTAAAATTACTCTTTAGAAGTTGAGTGGAAAGCATTAATATTTGGAACATTAGATTTTTGTCATTTGCTCTTTTGATGGATAACAATTTAATTTATAGTTGGCATTCTTGGAATAATCACTACTAGCAGTCTTAAATTGGATGTCAGTGATTTTTTTTTTTAGGTGGTGGTTTGGGGATTTTTATTCCTAAAAGCAGTCTGAACTAAATATATCCAATATATATACAAATACAAACAATAAGGCTAACATTAATCAGTTGATTTCTCAGCAGTTTTTCAGCGCTGTATTACATACCTGGGAAGTTTCTTATGTGCATAACCACAGCATTTTGTGTTCTTTGGTACCTCACAGTTAATGTATATTCATTTTTTTTAAGCTCATATCGCAGAAATCCAGGCCTGATTAACTTGCTAAACCAACCCCATTGTATTGCCCAAGTTAGTGTCTCCACTGTTTGGCGTATGTGGGATGTAATGTTCTTGTTTCCATTGTGCAAAACATGGCTTGATTTTTAATTGTAAGTATTTGTGGGCAAAAGCGGTAGTTAGCGTGTATCTAAAGAAAGAGCTTGAAAAGAAAGCAAGCTTTTTCTTGTTTTGGCAGTGTCGTTTGGCAGGGTTTTTCTCTGTGCTTGCAGGTTTTGACTGAACTGGGGTTGACAATGTTGGGCTTTGGCCGCACAAGTGACTTGAGTTTCTGTTAGCTCTGCTGTGACGTGGATGTGAGACTGGTGCCAATCTTTGCTCAAGGCAGAGCTGCCAAGTTTTAGAGCTGTTGCATTAGTAATGATAGATCTCATTTGGGAGCATAATAAAAACGTTGTCTTTTTGTTTTTGTTGCTGTTACTTATATATATATATATAGTGTTCAGGAGGAGGAAGAAGACAGACCTGTGGATGGAGGGGCAAAACATAAACTAGAAAAAGATGCTGGGAGGAAACAGGAAATACAGGTTGAAGCAAGAGAAACAGTCTGAGCTTGAAGAAGTTTAGCTTGAAAAAAATTTAGTCATTGGGTAGAAGTTGTGGTAAGAACAGGCTGAAGTGAGGGAGGAGTTGGAGGGAAAGCAAACTCCAACAGAGGGCCTGAGATTGAGAGATGAAGGGAAGAGGCAAGGGTGAGCAAGTCTGGGGAAGCAGTTTAGGATTTAAATAAGTCTGTTTTCATAAATTTGCATGAAAAGGGTCAGAGTGAGTTTGCAGTTATAACCATTGGTCTCTTCTGAAGCAGAATTATTTGCCTTTGCATGCTAAATGTTATTCTGAAATGAGCTTACAGAGTCTTAATTTGTATGGCAGTACCAAAATTGAGTGCGTTTTACAGAGGTGGCTCCTAAGTTTAAAACTGACTGACTTGTGGTTGTAATGTGAAAAGTGATTGTATGGTGACAGACTTCCTATTCAGGAAAAATACTTCTTGCTTCTTCTTTTAGACGGGGCTTGAATCCACCCCACAGAGTGAAGTCAATTTCGATGACTACTTTCACACAACAGGAAATAGAATTTCTGCAGAAACATGGAAATGAAGTAAGTATTATTTGTAGAATATCAAGTGCTTTTGTCACTTTAATATTAAAACTTTAAAACACTACTTAAGGAAAACTTGGATTGGGTTTTTTGTTTCCGTTTTTTTGGTAGCAAAAAAGTAGATGCAAGTCATTTGAAGCCAATATAATTTGAAGTGGCGCATCTAAAGAGCTTGATTCACTTGGGCAGCTGATCATCGTAATTCTGTGTGTTATTGCCCAACCCAGATAATCTAGATTCACATGATCAGTATTTCTGAATTGGATCTTCTTTTACTTTTGCACAGGGCTATACATGTCTATATTTTTTTCTTTTTTGCATGACCAGACCTTGAGACTGACTGCAGCAACATTTCCTGAAAGAGCATACCATGACAAAAATAAATTTGTTGCTTGTAGCTGTATTTCTTCAGAGTAGGTGTCAGAAAGTTGTCTAGTAGTTTCAGTAGCCTTTTTCTTTAATGGAAGTATATAAATATTGAAGGTTCTTGGAGAGGAAAGAAAGGGAGAATTTTTTTTTCTAAAGATTGTTATCTAATAAGTGTCTCCATGTTTAGAGTGACTTGGGGCAGCTGTGAAGAAGAAAAAAAGAGTTCTAATATACTGCCCTTTTGTTCTTTTTAATAAATGACAAAAATTGAGTCTGAAATAAATATTGGGTTGCCTTTATGGGGACACATGTAACATGTAAACCCTGGATGTGGCTACTGCTGTCTCCAATTTGAAGATGAAATTTGTATTTTAATACTGTACTGTAACATTGAGGATTTTGGAGACAACTTTAGCATAGAAATTTTTTTATTAGTAGAAGTTCTATTTCACTTTGATTGGATTTGTGTTGTGTTTTAGTAGAACTATTGATTGTAGGCTACAGAGTGTTTTATCAACGTGTTCTTATGACTCTTTGAGGGGATAAGTCCCATCGTTATCTAAAGTGCTGATACTTAATTTTCTTAAACTTGGCCCATTCATAACTGTCAGGTTGAAAAATGAAAATAGAGGTAGCGATTTCTTTTTCTGTCCTGGTAAATGTGTTACTTGTTGAAATGACTGTTTGTGGATGATTCCTCTAGACAGAGCTGGACAAGGTCTGAACTCTTCCAGACATTATCAAATACTCTTAATGGCCTTGACTAGGTTTTTAAAAATTGTTTTGGCATGTTAAAGCTGTTTATCATTGTGCGTATATGTATATGCATATACATGCATAGCATATTCTGACTTTTTGCATAGGGAGAATACTAAAGCATCTTTCATGGGTTCAGGTAAATATGTTGGAGTATTTTCCCATAAGATTAGATTGTAAACACCAGCTTTGGTTTAAGCTTTACAAGTGTAAAGGAAAATGTGTGTGTCCCTTCCTCTGCCCCTCTCTGCGTCTGTTTAATTTCAGTTTTTCATTGAATCTGCAACAGCTAGAGAATGCTACCAGTTTAATTTCTCACTGATCTGAAACCTTAAGTGAAACCTCAGCTGATTAGTGCTGTTGTCCTCAATATAGATCTGACTAGTCTGCCAATCATAATACGTAATTTATTATGGACATAAAAAAGTTCACAGGTCTCTGCGATGCTATATTATCTTTCAAAAGCAGAGGTCTGTGTGTTTGTAGTAGTACTTCCTCAATTAAAGTATAGGAATAATTAGAATGAGCTACCTTATAAGTGAAGGTATTCTCCTGAGTTTAGTTTTGGGTTGCTGGATACCAGGGCATTGCCTTAATTCAAAAGTAACACTGAATATATATTTGTAATTGCAGATGGTAGATTTAACAGGTGCTCAAATACTGGCCAGAAGTGATATTGTTTTAAAAATTGTTGGAAGTTTAAAACTGAATTAAACATGGTTTTAGTTAGTCATGTGTTGTGATTTAACCCAGCCAGCAACTAAGCACCATGCAGCCACTGGCACACCCCCCACAGTGAGATGGGGGAGAGAATCAGAGGAAAAAGAAGAAAATTTGTGTGTTGAGGTGAGAACAGTTTATGATTATTTTAACTTTATTTCAGTCATTAATAATTAAAAGTGGTAATGATAATGAAGACAATAAAATAGAGAACAGAACCAAGAGAAACAAGTGACACAGCCACTCGCCACCTGCTGACTGATGCCCAGCCAGTGATTTCACTCCCTGGCTGACTCTGCCTGGCTTATATATTGAACGTGATGTCTAATAGCATGCAGTATCTCTTTGGTCAGTTTGGGTCAGCTGTCCTGGCTGTGTCTCCTTCCAGCTTCTTGCAGAAAAGGAGCTGGGAGGACAGGAACAGTGTGAGGAACTGAAGCGTCCTTGGATTAATGTAAACATTGCTTGGCAACGACTAAAGCATCGGTGCGTTGTCACATTATTCTCAGCACAAATCCAAAACATAGTCTCCTACTAGTTGCTATGAAGAAAATGAACTCCATCCCAGGCTACTATAAAAGAAAACTAACTTCATGCCTGCTAAAACCGACACATTATGCTGTATGTTGCAGTAGTTAAATAAGCATTTTGCTTTCTCTTGTTGGTATTGGACTTTGGAATACTTCACCTGCAGATAAGAGAAAGTATTGAGCAGTCTATTTTTGCTTAGCTTGCTCTTCAGCATTGGTGGCTCTTGTGTATATATTAAGAAATGACATTTTCTAGGATGACTGTGTTCAAACATGAAACTGTCCAACATTTTAGGATGTGGACATGTTAAAAAAAGTACAGTCACTGAATGGTTTAGATGTTGTAACGGTTGTTTTAGTTTTGCAGCTATATAAAAACAAACAACTTTTTGCAATCTAGTATGTGTAGCTTGTAAAATACTTTTATTCCCACTTTGTCCTCCCAGTCTTCCTCCATTATGGCCAAGGCCTCGATGGTAAACTTTCTTGCTTCCAGATGGGTGTACGATAGGGAACTCGTTCTGAATAGAAAATAGCAAGAAAGCGTCCCTGATAAAAGGTAGCTATAGTGGTGAGTTGTTCTTAGAAGGAGTGGTTTTCCATCCTATTTCGAAGAGTATTTATAAGGTAAATGTATTGTGTGAGGTTGAAGTTCTCTTATGGGGGGGGGAAATTAAATTCCTAATCTCTGAAATACTTTTTCCCAGTTGTCAGAAATGGCCATCTTTGTGACACATGTGGGTAAAACGTTCAGTTACTAAGGGACTTTCACAAAGTGACTGCTTTGGGAAGAGATTATTCAGAGCAGCTTCTCTCTAGTGTGAATACCATCTCCATCCTTGTATATACACCTCCAAGGAAAATCTTTCTGGCACAGGTAGAATGAACTTTTTTAGAGTTTTTACTGCTTCAAATACAGACTAAAATCTTTTTGCTGTATTGGAAGGCGTCTGTTTTGGTGTTGCTTACTCATCTGCAGGTAAGCAGACTCTGGTTTTGCTAATGTTGGGTTAGATCACTTCTGCAGCAAGAATGAAAATACCATCCTCAAGTACCTTCTGAAGTTGTTTTGAAGGATAAAGGCAATTTTGTCTCATAGAGGAAGGGAAAATTCCTACCTGTTCTCTTCATGAGGAGCAGTGTGAGGTATTTTCATACTGTGTTTTCATGTTAGGAATAATGAGGAGAGAGTGGTATGGAGAGGTTTCTGTCTGAATACTTAAAATCAAATGATGCTAATGTACATTAGGCCTTTGATTCTGTGGTGCAATGATAGTAGAAAGTGAACTCACTGCAGAATGTGGAGGTGGTACTCCTCTCATGTTGCCATTATAGCTGTGAATATTTATTAAGAAGCTTTCCCCTGAAGGTGAAAAATAGTATTATGATGCAAAGCAGTTACATACTTAGTTTTTCTACAACACTTGTCAAAAGTGCCGTATGTTTTATAACCTTTCCAAGTAGCTTATTCTAATACTCATATGGTGGAAGAGTGATTTGGATGGTCTTGTATTTGAAAAATCTGTGTTCCCCTGAGGGCAAGATCGTGTTTACCTGAGCTAATGAGTAGAACACTACATGGGTATGCTCAATTGTTTGGAATTAGTTTGCCAGTGCTTAGTTTTGTTTTTTGTGGTGGTCTTACTAACTCTTGATAGCACCTGTGCAAGTGTTTCTTACCAGTTTCCCACACTCTAGATTCCAAGAGAACCTACAGTTGCAGAACTAACAGTGGTATGGAACTGGTTCAGAGCTGGTGTTCAGCCAGGCCAAAATGCTTTCCTAGAATCCCCTTTACTTATGGAATGTGGCCTAGAAACCCTGGAGTGGCAAGAGCAGCACTAAGCTGGTGCTGATGAGTCCTGACAGCATGAGCTGGGCGGTCAGGTGTCCTTGTAGTACATCCCTGGTTCTGCTAATACGATACAGAGAGACATGAGCTGACTGTCTGTAGAACAATGTCTTTGTTAGCGGGATTTACGGCTTGGGCTCTGTGCTTATGAAAGCAGCTATAGCTTCTGAACCCAGACTGGCTTTGAAATCAGTGTGCTGACAGTATAAGATTCTTTTAACCTACAGACATTAATGAATAATGTTGACATCAGAAGTGCTAAATTACTAAAAAAAGCTATAACTTTCTTACATAAGGAAACTGTTTCCAAATCTTTCTTCCTGTGGTGAGTGTTATGTTTTGGAACATAGTTTTGTTGTGTGGTAATCTGTAGTTCTTTGCACTGTCAGCCTTACATTTGATGCGTAACTGAGGGTATTTTATTGGGGAGGAGAGGGAGAAAAAGAAATCTAATTTGGCATTTAGCTGACTACTGAAAGGCAATATCTCATTAGAGCTTTTTAAACGAGACCGACGTGTAATTTTCCTATGCAGTGGTATGTGTGGGTCTAAACAAGAAGGGCTCTCTTGCTGTGGGTCTACTAGTGTGCTTTTTCTAGTTAAAGTGCAGCTTCTACCAGCAGAAGTACTTGTCGTATTATAGCTTTTCCTTGCTGTGCTTCCTTCACTGCATACAAGAGAAGGTGGCTTCATGAGCAAAAAATGTAATTTTGCTGGTTTAACAGAATTTTTTTTACTCCCATGCTAACATGAGTTAGTAACTGTGCTAACAG